GAATGCCACTGTGGCCTAGGAAATGGTTCTCCAAGGAGCAGCTGGCATTAACCCTTCAGCAGCAGGGGCAACAGCCTGCCTCTGTGGCAGAGGCCCCAGACTTTTCCAGGGGAAGGAGATAAGGCTCTGCACCCTTGTCATGGTCCTGCAAACCTGAACATTTACAGTAGTCGTGGGGTTGAGGGGCAGAAGGAGGAAACAGACTGCTGGCCCTATTCTCCCAGGCAGAAATCACAAAATATAATCCCACCTGCCCAGGTGCTGAGAACAAGACATTCCCAGGTCCCTGCACACACTACTTTTGTTGATATCTAGTCTCGGGCCTATGGCGGGCTTAAAGAGGAGCTGGCACACAAATGGGCATCCCCCCGACACCCAGGCCCCTGCCATACCACCACTGTTCCGAAGACCCTTCACTAGTTAATCTACACTCCTCAGCCCAGTTGGCGACATGTCATAGAACAGGAAAAAAAAACGAAATCTGGCCTCCCCACTTATTAGTTGTACATATTAACCTCTTTGCTCCTTGGTTCTCTCATCCAGCTTTTGAATGCCACTGAAAACGACCTTGCCAAGGTTGCCAGTGGCCTCCGTGTTGCCAAGTCCTTGTTTACTTTTTTTGACTTGTTCGTAGTTTACAGTCCTCTCAGCTCTTATCGTCCCACCCCACCTAGTCTTACACCTCCTGTTACTTCTTCCTAGAATTTATTACTTCTTGAAACCTTCTTATTTATTTGATCATTTTTAATCAAATGTTTTGGTTCCCCTACCCCACGTAATCTCAAGAGAGAAGGTATTTTCTCTGTCTTATTCACCAAAATAAACTCCAGGCTTAAAACAGCGGCTGGCACATGGAAGTTACTTGAGGATCAGTTCCAGTAAAATTAGAGTGAAAAACTGAAAAAGCGGAAGGCATGGTATTTTGGGAACAGTGGCTCTAACCTAGGAGGGCAATAAAGGGAAGTCCCATGATTACAGCTGTGCAGCAACTAGTCTAATCTTGAGCAGGAATAAGAATCTAGAAGTGTTTCTGGCAGGAAAAAAAAGAGGCTCCATGCAACAGAGAATAAAATTGAGATGCTAAATAATCTTGAGGATCGAAAGGCACATTATCCTTTGGTCAATAAGAAAAAGAAAGGCAATTAGAAACTCCAGGAAAAACAAAAAGTTATTATAAAACGTATTGGACTCAATATGAAATAATTTAATATGTAGCAGAATTTAGAACAATCAGTGGAGTACAATAAAAACAGTAAAAAATTCATTTGACCTTGCTGTGAAGATCATTCTTCTCTGAGAGGGCAAGGATCGAGAGCAAACAAACAGTATGCAATCCTAGCATACTATTTGGCCCTGAGGAGAATTGTATTTACTTAATAACAACTAATAATGTTGAGTACATTATATGCCAGAAAAGGCAGTAAGAGCTTTGCATATAATATTTAATCCTCACAACACCCTAATTTACACATTATCATTGTCCTTATTTTACAGATAATGAGGCATGGCACATTAAACCAGTTTTTCTCGGTCATATGGCTAGTGCAAGAGCTGTATTCACACCTGGGCCTGTGAGACTCAGAGCTCCACTCCCCACGGCTGGCCCTAGCAACCAGGCTGTTTGACCTTCAGGCTCCAATTCTTCTTAAAAAGAAGCATAGGAGACCACGTGCTTACACACATATGTGCAAACACACATGCACTCCTAAGAGCCAGGATGCAAAGCCACAGAGCAGCAGTAGAGCTGATCCAGGCAGGGCAGCCAGAGTAGCAGGGCCAGAGCAGGGCCTTACCTTCCTGCAGTCTTTGCAGAACACCGACGAGCTGCCCAGGAAGCCCAGCACCTCCCCGCAGAGCAGACACTGGGAGAGGCCATTCCCCAGCACGTTGCGCCTCATGGTCTCCAGCCGCTCCACCAGCCGCCTGAAGCACAGGACACAGAGTCAGATGGAATGTGCTTCCTGTCTCCACCCCAACCACTGTCCAGACACGGCTGCCGCGGGGCCCCAACACTATACAAACCCCATGTGCTGTTTTCTTACCTGGGGTACTGTTCCCTGCCTCACCTCTTTGCCCGGCGGCTAACATAACCATTCATTTCCTCACCGATATTCATTGAGAACCTATGATGTGCCAAACACTGGGATTATTGTAGCAAACAAGCCAGAGACAAACATGGTCCCTACGCTTATGGAACTTATGCTCAGTAAAGTGAGAAAGTCTAGAAACAAGTAAACCAGAAAACTGACTTCAGAGGGAGAAGCACTATGAAGTAAAATAAGTGGGAGGGGGAGGGAGAGACTGAGGGGATGGGGGCATGTTAGATGATCATCAGTGAAGGCCTCTCTGAGAACATTTGAGCCGAGAGCTAGAGGATGGAAAGATGCAAGGGGAGGAAGCATTCCAGGCAGAGGGAACGGCAAACGCAAAGGTTCAAGGTAAGAAAGGGCCCGGCACGTTGGAATGCTAAGAAGGCCAGCGTGGCTACTGCCTGGTGAGTGAGCCGGAGCCTGGGATAAAGGGAGGCTGGAGGGGGGAGGAGGGCCCAGATTACAGGGTTTTGTAGGTCACAAAATGGAGTTTGACCTATTCCCGAAGGTCATCGTGAAACTACTGAGAAATTTTAAGAGGAGTGATTTGATCTGAGTGATGTTTTCAAAAGCTCACTCAGGATTACAGGGGGAGCTGAGGTGAGGAAGGCAGCAGAAGGTCGTGGGAGGTCCGGGGAGGGAGCCTGGGATAGGCTGCATTTCAGGGGCAACGTCGAGGGATCTGGGGTGAATGGAGGTAAGAGAGAACCAAGATGACATAGAGCCTTTTTGTTGAGCAACTGGGCAGATGAAGAAGGTGGAGAAAGAAAGAAAAAGAGCCCGTTTTTGAACCTGAGATGCTGAGTGTCCAGGAGCCTTCCCTGAACCCCACTAAGTCTGGCATAGGTGCCTCTCCTCGGGGTCCCATGGCCCCTTAGCCTACTGTGACCCCTGTTTCATGACAACTGGTAATGCAATTCTACAATTTCCATGAAACTGGCAGCCACTTCTGTTTTGTTGGCTGCTTTATCTCCAGTGGACACTCAGTGAAAATTCTTGAATGAATGAAGGACAGAGTATGGATACATCATCTCCTCTAATTGTCACAACCCTCATTGAGAAGGAGGCTATTTTCCCCCATTTTAAAGATGAGAAGACTGAGGCTCAGAAGATATGAAGTCACTTGCCAGGGTCACACAATTCCTAAGAGGTGAAGCCCAGGTCCACCCAGGCTCCCCTCTTGTGGAAACCCCATACTTTCCCGAGGCAATCAGGCTTTGCCCAGGGGCTGACAGATAGCAGACTGGGCACTGAGGCTGCCTCTACCCACATGTCCTCTAGCAAGCACTCCTGACTTCCACAGGTGTCATCGTCCCTTACCCCAGGGACCTGCAGAGCCTTGGGAGCAAATCCAGTTTCAGCCCTGGCCTGACCTACTTGTTTTTGGGGACTTTCTGTCAATACAACCCTGTGCCCCCTAACTCATGAAACACACAGGACTCACTACCTCCTTTTGAGATGATTAACCTGAGGCACTGCCTTTTGGGTCATTCTGCACCTCTGCCACATCCAGTGCTCGGAGAAGAGGCCAGACCACTTGAGCAGCACAGGGAAGGCAGAGACAGCCGCCCAGATAGATGAGGGGGCACAAACGTGTCCCATTGCACGAGAGAACCGATATGAAACATCCCCCAGCTCCTCACACACCCTCCTGGGGGAGCCTGAGGGATGCAACACTGGCATGTCAATCATCTGTCTGATCTAAACCCTTTTTGTAATACAGTGATAGTAATACATCATTATTATTGAGGCACACACGTTAAACTGGAAAGTAGTAGTCTTTGCAGTGGTGTTTTCGCTTTCTAGGACTGCATTTCTACAATGTCTGACTTCTTTTAATGATTATATATTTACTAGAAAAAGATAAACAGAACAGGGAGATCAGAATCAAATTAACTCCTGCCCAAGGCAACGCATTGTGTTTGTGTTTTCCCACTTGTGCTTTTCTGTGTTTTTTAGATTTTCAAGGAAGTATGAATTGCTTTTGTAATTAAACAAACAAAAATAGACACAACAAAGCTGTTTGAAGACTGCTTAGTAGTCAGCTCTGGATGCCTGAGGCCAGGAGAAGAGCTTAGAAGATGCTAGAGAGTGTCTCCTGTTGGACTCTGATGGGACGGCCCAGGTTCAGCCTCGACTTAAAGCCCTCCCTGCTGGACCAGAGCTGGCCTGCCCTTAAGGCTGTAGAGCTGAACAATGCCTAACGCTTTTCACCACACTCATTCATTCTTCCTCACGGCTTGGAGCCCCACATCAGCCACTATCCTCATCTTACAGAGGGGTATAGTGAGGCTTTGCCAGGCTGGGTTACGCATCTACACCCGAGGGGTGTTCAGGCAGAGCTGACTCACTCCCCACGGTAAAAAGCCAGTCCTAGGACCCAGGGTGCCAGTCTCCCAGCCCGATGACCTGGCACTAAGCGCCCCTGCTCTCCTCTCACTGCTCGGCTCCTGTTCCTGTTAGGAGCAGCCCTTACCCTATCCTTTGCTGCTCCATGACGTCGAGCTGCTCGGCCCTCTGGATGACCTGCAGGATGGCCTCTAATTCAGCCGTGCTGAGGCACTGGCTCTTCCTCTGCTTCTCTGTCTGGTAGGTATGCACAGACCAGCCTGTATGCAGCCTCGAGAGAGAACAACACAGAGGCCTTGAGGCCACCCCAGTGCAAACCCCAGCAGCCCCGCTGCATCCACAAAGCCCCTGAGAACAGTTTGGGGAGGGCCCAGCTGCTGTGTGTTGGGAGCAAGGGGCTCAGAGAACAGGGAAGACATCGGGCTCTAAAGGCTGGCTTTGCCACCCGCCAGCTGCTGGGCCCCACAAAGACAGCAGCGCCTGGGGGGGCAGGGCCTTGAGGCCACCCCAGTGCAAACCCCAGCAGCCCCGCTGCATCCACAAAGCCCCTGAGAACAGTTTGGGGAGGGCCCAGCTGCTGTGTGTTGGGAGCAAGGGGCTCAGGGAACAGGGAAGACATCAGGCTCTAAAGGCTGGCTTTGCCACCCACCAGCTGCTGGGCCCCACAAAGACAGCAGCACCTGGGGGGGCAGGAGCACAGAATGTGACCACTGTGCAAATGGAGAAGGCCACTGCCATGGCGCATGAGGTTTTGAGGGAGGAGCACAGAAGATTAGCAAGAGAAGCATGCAAACCTAGATCTGAATCATATAAGAAAGTGAGGTGGAGTTAACTATGTAACAGGAAAGAACTATAATTAGGTTAAAAATGAACCTCGAGGATAAAAGAAGATTCACAGTATTTTGAAAACTAGAGGGTCCAAGGGCAGGAGGGTAACTGAGCTGCATGAGAGGAGGCAAGGACAGGCAAGATGGCGAGGTGGGGCTAGGGCTTGGCCTAGGGGACTCAGCCTTCTCCACTCCACTGGACTGCAGGAGGGACGCCTCCTGAGGCTGAGACCTCAGCACAGTGGCGGCAGCAGACCAAGCCCCAAGCTCCCTGCCCTACGTCTCTGCTTTTCCAAGGCATTCTGTACCAGGTACTAGGAACAGAGATGGGCAAGATGGCAAAGTCACCGCCTTGGAGAACTATAACATGCTGGGGGAGACGGGTGCCCAATCAGTTACACAAATATTTATTTAAAGAAAAAATTATAAGAGCTATTCATTCAATGCATATTTATTGAACATCTACTGTGATGCCAAGCTCATTAGGTGCTAGAGATATGCTGCTGGTGGAACAGACAGGTGGGCATTTGGAGGATGTGTAAATAAGGGGAACTAACCCAGTCGGTTAGCGGGGGGAAGGGCACAGCACCAGCACCACCACCCGCCTCAGTGGACGCAGCTCCTATGCAGCTCACTCTGGGCCCACTACCAGCCAGGGGTTCTGCAGACTCCTCCCACTGGACCTCCTGTCATCCTGCAAGGCAGGCTGCCTCATTTCTCAGAGGGGGAAAGAGGTGGGATACAGTTAGATGGCTTTCTAAAGGCCAGTCAGGGGTCAGCAGGCCTCTGGGCCAGGGGAGCTCCAGTCCAGCAGCTGCTGACAGCCGTGCCAGGCTCCCACAAGGCATCCTCTGAGCCTTATTTCCTGACTTCACCTGATCGCCCACCAAGTCCCACAAACTACATTGACCTATTCATCCTCCTCCCCAGACTCCCTACCCATGTCTAGTCAGGCCTTGACTCTCATTTATGGCCATGGCTGCCATTGAGCATCTTGTTCCCTTGCAGTGCCCCTCCACGCAGCCAAAGGGCCGACTCAAGCTGCAAATGTAGATGAGTTGCAACCCCTGGGGAAGAACCTTCAGTGGTGTCCAGCACCCATCTGTACATCCCCCATAGGGTGCCCTTGTCTCTCGGCTCCCCTGGCCTCACACGATGTGCACTACCAAAAACTGCTCCTAGTTCCCTTGTTCTGAGCTGTGTGCTATCTCCAGATCTTTGCTCACACTGTTCCCTCCACATGAGAAGCCTGACCCTCTACCTAAACCTCCTTTCCACTGGCTCACTCCTTTTTTAAGACTTCTTTGAGACATGATCTTCAACAGGAGGCTTTTCCTTGATCCCCTCCCAGATGGATTAGGAGTCCATTCTGAGCTAAGACCCGGGCATAGCTCCATCACTGGGCTTAAACATTATTTTGAGGCAAGTTGGGACCCTCTGTCTCGCCTTCAGAATGTGAGTCTCTGGAGGACCAGGCCCTGCCCCATCTGGCCCCTGTCCACCTGTCCGTCTTCCTTTCACCCCATTCGTCACCTCAGTCATTCTGTGTTCGAGTTGACACTGGCCCCTCTCAGGTCCTCTACATGCCATAATCTTTCTACCTCAAGGTCTTTGCACGTTCTGTTCCTTTTGCCTAGAAGCTCCTCCCTACATTTCCATCTGACATTTACCCCTCCTTCAGGACCCAACAAACACATCACACTCTCAGTTAAGTTAGCACCCCCTTTACCCCAACTGCCTGTTCCCACTGCCCAAGAACATGGGTAATTATGTGTATGATGCTCACTCCTCCTCACCAGTGCCTTAAGACAAGAGGCCATGTAGGTCTTGTTTACTACTGTAAACAAAGCCTGGCACATAGTAGGGGTCTGGAAAATATGTGATAGTGGCTGGAGGGCAGGAGGACAGACCTAGAGTTAGAGCCAGGAAAGGTAAAGTTCCCAGACTTCCTAGAAGGAGTCTCGGTACAGTGCCTGGACATGCGGATTTGAAGTACTCTCCTTTAAGGCGCTTGGCATTACAAGAAGCCTGGCTTTACAAGGCAGCACACCCTGGGGAGGAGATAAAAGCATTTGCTCTTCTAAAAGGTGCTACAACAGCTTTTGGCTGCTGCTGAGCACAAGACAAGGTCAGGAAGAACTGAGGAAACACCAGAGGGGTATCCAGGGGCCCTCCCACAAGAGCACAGCTCTCCCTGGCTCCTTGTACTAGCCAGGGAGGACACAGCATCTGGCCTGGTGTCAGAGAGAGGGAGAGGGGCTGGTTTCCTCCCTGGTCTCTCCCCCGTGCCGGGGCTAAGCCATCTCAGTAAGAGGGACAAATTAACTGTCGTGCAAAGATTCCAGCAAATCATGCAGGACTCCACTCTTTTGGGGTGTATCAGATTAATTTTTCTCTCCACCTTTGATGTTTCAGCTCTGTGTCCCCACAGGCTCATAACATCTAATTGCAAATTTCCCATTTGGGAAATGCTGACTCCTGTAATTGGCACGGTATGACAGATAAAGAGGACTCTTGGGCTTATGTGACACCAGGAACCCCCAACTTCTCAGAGAGATAGGGAGACAGAAAGGCAGGAGAGGCATCTAGGAACCCCTGTCTCCAGCCACAGGGGGACAGCGGGTATAGACAGCTTGACCAAACTGGAGCTGAGGGGTCACCAGGCTGAGGGATAACAAGAAAACCAGGACCCCAAGGGGCCAAGACAGAACCAGAGAGACTGTGACAGGAACGTGGAGGAGCTCTGGGATGCCCCAAGGCTGGCTGTGTGTGTCAGCCAGGAGGACGCTTTTCATTCATTTGATGAGGCTTAGGTCCAGCCTTAAGTCCTGTCTGCCAGTGCTGGACACTCAACTTTAAACTGGGCTTCCAGGGATCAGAGGCGCCCCACCTTTAGGGGCTCAGGGACTGAAGGCTCAGTGACCAGTGACAGAAGGGGGTGGGGACATATGCTTTTAACAGAGAAGGCAAGAAAGGAAGCGGTCTGGCTCCCTGCAGCTTGTTGTGATAGGAGGAACACAGGTGCCGGAGTCAGAAAGATCCAGATGCGGGTCCTGGCCCTGACACTTACAAGGTAAGTGACTCAGGCAAGGAGCCAGACCCACTTTCCTCACCTGAGAAATGGGGATAAATTCTATATGATGGTTAAATGAGTGAAGAGGTCTGTTCAGTGCCCAGCTCAGGGTGTGGGGTGTTTATTACATAGGTACTTGTCTCCAAACTTCCCTCTCTGGGTTCCTGGGACAGAAACACGCCAAAGAGAGACTGGGAGCAGGAGGGGGAGGGAGAGGGAAGCCTGGCTGGGCCTCAGAGGTACTCACTTGGCTCGCAGGGCAAGCTGCCGATCATTGGGGCAAACCCACTGATCACTCCCACTGCCAAAGATAGTGTCCGCCATGCTTAGAACGCCCAGGCGGGGTGGGGACTCACATCTGAGGTGAGAAGAAGGAAAAGAAAAAACACGTCATTGGCTGGGGTGCAGATGGTATACAGGGTCCTCAGGCTTCCAAACTATCCCCATACGTTGCCCCCACTGACACGCAGAATCTCACCATTAGAATCACTCCTCCAACTAAATACGGTTCCCTCCACGCTCCTCTTTCAAAAGGCTCATAATTCTGGGAGGGGTGGCTAAGTGGGTCAAGATTGGACCTGACCGGCAGGACATCAAAGGGTTAGAATCAGAGAGAAGAGGCAACTGCAGTAATTTCCAACTTAGTTGGCAAGCCCTTAGTGCATTTAATCCCTGCTTCCCTCCACATACAGCCACTGCTGTGCTTAGCACTTCCTCAGCAGAAGTGACCCTGGTTGGGGGTAGGTGGAGAGAAGATGGCTAGACAGCCTGGGCAAACCCTACTTGGCTCCCAAACATGGGGGACCTGGCAGCAGCAGCCCCAGGTGCATGAGTGTGACTGAAGCCAGTTACCATCCTCAGCTCTGCATACAAGGTCTTTCACGCACTCTGATCCCCAAGATGTTCCGCTAACAATGCTCTCCGGAGCAAGAAGGAGGGCAGGGAGTGACAGCTGCACCAGGACTGCCACCCTGCACAACTGTCCACCGGGACTACAATGTAAATGGTACCCTTGGAAATCCTGTAGGGAGGTGACCCTGCTCCTGAACTTCCTGGGGGTTTAACTTGTACAGTGTGGCTTAGCTGGCCTTCTCCTTGCCACCAAGGATATGTGTTAGGGTGCACAACTGTCCACCGGGACTACAATGTAAATGGTTCCCTTGGAAATCCTGCTCCTGAACTTCCTGGGAGTTTAACCTGTACAGTGTGGCTTAGCTGGCGTTCTCCTTGCCACCAAAGATATGTGTTAGGAGGAGAAAAAGGAGGGGAAGAGAGAGATGAGTTTGAGGGAATCTCAATCTTAGAACAAAGACGAAGGGCTGTACTGAGTTGTCCATACTCCCCTGGTCTAATCCCATCTAGACCAGTGTTTCTCAAACACAGGACTCTTTCACACTCTTAAAAATTACTGAGGTTGGATATCAGTATAGCAGTCCCTCAAACGTTAAACAGAGTTGCCCTATAACCCCCAAAACTACTGCTAGTTATATATCCAAGAGAACTGAAAACACACATCCACACAAAAATTTGTACATGAATGTTCATAGCAGCATTATTCATAATAGCCAAAAAGTGGAAACAATTCAAATGTCTATCAACTGATGAATGAACAAAACATGGCATATCATACAATGGAATATTATTCGGCCACAAAAGGTACTGAAACACTGATACTGGTTATAACATAAATGAACCTTGAAAACATTATGGTAAGTGAAAGGAGCCAATCACAAAAGATCATGTACTGTACGCTCCCATTTGTATGAAATGTCCAGAACAGGCAAATCCAGAGACAGAAGGTAGATTAGTAGTTATCAGGGGCTGAGGTGGAAGAAAAGGAGGAATGGGGAGTTCCTAATGGGTTCAAGGAGTCTTTTTGAGGTGATGAAGTGTTCTGGAATTAGATAGTGGTGATGGTTGCACAATTTTGTGAATACACTAAAACCACTGAATTGTATCCTTTAAAAGTGTGAATATAGTATGAGATATAGTATGAGAACTATATCTCATTTACCCATTACTAAAAAAATTCTTGAAGAGTCTAAATGATATGGGCTATATCTATTGATATTTCCCATATTAGAAATTAAAATTGAGAAAAAATTTTATAATTCATTAAAAGACAATAAATCCATTAGATGTTCATATATTTTACAAAAAATAACTATATTTTCAAAACAAAAAACCTTAGTGAGGATAATAGCACTGTTTTACCTTTTTACAAATCTATGTAATGTTTAGCTTAACATAAGGCCCCTGGATGTTCATTTCTGATTTTTCATTCACTTTTTTGCAATCTGTGGTTTTCTTAAAGTGCATGAAGGACATCTAGGCTCTCACGGGTATATGTACTAAGACCAGAAAAAGGAGGAGCATCTTAATAGCCTTTCTAGATGATTGTGGCTGTTCTTTCATACTACATCAAAACAACACAACAGTCAGTTGTTTCTTAAAGATCAGTTCCAATGTGGCATCTGAAACTGTATCAATGAACTTTTCATCTTATGTGCATTTGTGAGAAGATGAGGCCAAACATCTTATTATGATGATGAAAATAGTTTCGACATTGTAGACCCCTGACCTGCTGGGGACCCCCAGCCCACAGTTTGAGAAAGTCTGTTCCAGACCAATGTCACCCATTTTCGTGATGACCAGCAGGGGGCAGCGTACACACTGCAGCTCACTGACCCACACAGGGACCAAACCCACCACTTTGACCTCAGGGTTTCTCTATCCCATGCTG